GGGGGGGGGGGATATTCGACAGTAACCTTGTCTTTTTTTATAAGACAGGGTTATATAAGAATTCTATTCACTAAAAATCCTCTTAGTGGCCCAACTCAGATTCGATATGAGGGTCCCGGTATCTCCAATGGAACGCACCGATAATTAAAAAACCTAGAAGTCAGTCCGTTCTACCTTACCAATTATCTATACACTTATACATTTCTCGAATAACTAATGTAAAATGGGGTCTACATGTCCGAGTTAACCAAGTACAGATCGACACGTTCATAGACCGGCAATTAATTAACAAGGTTGAATTTGAAATATTTATGTACCTCTGTATGTAATATGCTAATTAAACAATTAGATTTGGTAAAATATATTACACAACTGATTGTTACATCGTTGTTTAAATGATATTTATCACTAAATCCTTCATGAAACAACCTTTTGCAAATAATCATAAAGGTCACAAAAACCTCTAAGGTCATGATTTAAAAATAAAATTCCGTGTTTCATCTGATAAGTGTGGTGCCGGAGGCCTAATTTAAGTCTCTTTCTCTTTACTACCCTTTTCTTATGAGGAGAGTATGCGAACGGGAAGTGGATTTGCATAGGAAGGGGAAATGTCCTCTTTATGTGCGTCTCCTCCTTTATCGGATAAGGGTAGGCAACGCATCTGCAATTGGGGATGTCTATGGGCAGCGGTCGCTTCGCCATTTTGGCGGATTCGGGTGGCCTCTTGCTCGTTTGCCACCTTATGTTATAAAAAAAATAAAGAGAAAAAAATACTCCAAGTGTAACCAAGCGCTGATACACAATACTTGTCAGATATACAAACATATCGCATTACTTTCAACTGGGACTTTTTAATAAAAGTCAAACCTTTAACCACGTTCTTTTTTTTTTGACTGACTTCCCAAAAGAAGGAGGTACTCAATTCGCCTGTATGTTTTTTTTTCGCCATTACCTATGTATTTTAATACACTGGAAATGACAACAAAGGTACTTCAAATCCACTTTTCTGTTTACCTTTTTCAGTCTGTCCTTGATATCTGTTGCTGGCAAATATTTCGATCCATCCAATCCATTTTTCATTATTTTAGGGAAAGTATCATATAATTCGGTGTACGACTTCTGTGATAGTATTAACTGTCTGTTTGTCGCTGGCCTGGAATAGAGATGATTATACACATTAGAAAATTCAGTAGAAACTGCCTAATACCTGGATATTTAAAAATGTTTAGGTTATGGCGATCAGAACTGTATATCCCGGCTTCAAGACCAAAACAGTCTTATTAATAAAGTAGCCCGCAAACTAACGAGTCGCCCACGACTTCTGCACGGGCCTAAAAAAATAGCACAAGCTACCTTCTCGTCAGAATCGTCGACATCAAGTTGTTGATTTGTCTGTCAAATTATTATTGTTTAGTCTAAAAAGAAAAGGCAAAAAAAATATTGTCCGTTTTTGTCAAATTTCTTGTAGTCAATACTCAATGTTTATATAACTTTTGAAAACTTAACTTCAGCAAAAAATTAAACATTGTTTACACTGTTATTACAAAAAAAATTACTTTTGTTAATAATAGTTAATTTTCGTATTAACTCTTACATTTTCAACATACAATAATTTCATACTTAATTAATACAATTCGAGATTTCAAGATCACATAATTCACGTAACATTGACAATAATAATAAATTAGTAATAATAATAAAACTTTATCGAGAAAATCTCACGTTCTGTTAGTAATCAATCCGCGTGGAATTAAAAAAAATGAACAGCCTATGTGTTCTTCCTCTACATCAATACCAAATTTCATCAAAATCCGTTCAGCCGTTTAGGCTACAAACTTTAACAAACATCCATCCATCCATCCACCTAAACTTTTGCATTTATAATATTAGTTAGTGTGAAGTATGATTATTAGTTACATTATTTTTGCAAGTTATTAAATCGCCGCAGTACTGCACTATGCCATCTGGATGCCAAAACAACAAGGAGAGAGTTTATATTGTCATAAAAGGAATCGATGTCATAAATCAATCGGCACCTAGATCGTAAACGCCGACATTATCTCACAAACACGAAATCCATATTACAAACCACGTAGAAGATAACATCGTAAACATACTCGATTTATCGTTGTTTACTTCTCGATTTTAAATATATGTGAAACTTATGATACTAGCTAGCTATTCCCGTGCGACTTCATTCGCGTGAAATTATGAAAATTTTGGATAGATTTATCATATCGTTTACATGTTTTAAATTATCAATTGCAAATGTCAAAATGACATGACATGATGACAAACCATGGCAACCTTGCTTCCTTGATGTTTGCAGCAACTTATGGTTTCTTTCCCACATTAGGGTTTTCATCCAAAATATGTACCCCCTATGTTTAATGGTGTGAAAACATATAGCCTAAAGCGTGAGGAAAGTGTAGGGCTTTTTATTAAAAAAAAATTTATTCAAAAATATGCTGTCATGTTAGGCAACAAAGAAATGTGTGTTTATGCTTTATTACAATAGTATAGATAGTTTTGAATAACTTATACTGTCTAAATTTAACCTACTTAAGGCTATCAATTCTATAAAAAAATAAATTTGCATTATGTAAATAAACATGTGATTGCAACTATGGTAGATTTACTGCTATTATGCATATGAAATGATTGTACCATTGTGTAAACCTTTACACACCAACACTGAGGGGCTTAAGAATACCTTAACTTAGTGACTAGGCCTTAGTAGTATGCACTAGCATAAGATGAATAATTGAATTATTGAATTATATGAGACTAGCTTTCACCCGCGACTTCGTTCGTGTGGAATTAAAAAAAAACAAAAATAAGCAGCTAAAGTGTTGTTGACTATCCTTTTCGTCTATGCCAAATTTCATAATCGTTAGTTCGGATGTCGTGGTATACGTACACATAGCGCGCGCATGCGTGAACCATTTTCATTAGTCGTTAGGGCTCCCATGCGTTAGCCGATAGTACTAAGACCACGCACTTTGACTAGATAAACTATCGCACAACTGTGTAGTTGTTTTTTAATTCCTATGAGATTATATGGAGAAGCGCACACTACTCTATTTTTAGTTGGGCAGCTATACAATTGAATGGGCTGCGGAACAATCGACAATACAACAGTGCGATAGTTTACACAAAGGAGTGTGCCCTTTCTTCCTTTTCCTTACTTATTGTACAAGTTCAACTGTTTCACTACACGGTGCGTAATTTATATCCAGTGGCCATTTTAGTGACCAAGTTAGTCATTATCCTGTATGCGAGAAAACCTCGCGTGCTGTTCAAGTATCGAGTTATTGTCTAAATAAATTGCGCACTTACGCCGAAGGAAAACATCGTGATGCAGTTCGTTTACGTTTTATAATATAATGAAGTTTATTAGAAGTGATAAAAAGTCGAAAATTGTTAGACCCAGAGTTGTGTTTCATACCAAGGAGTCTCGTACCTCAATTAAAGTGTGTCAATTCTAGGATTCCGTAGCTCATTTATAATGTTTATTAATTATAAAATCAGTAACAACTTATAATCGTATGAATGTTTACTTACCAATTCGCACAATTTCTTGAGAAATTCAATAGCCATTTGCAGGTTACCATTTCACTGCTGGGATTTGTTTACCTTTTTGTTGAAATAAAATCGCTTCTAAAACAAATTCGATACAATCGTTAACTAACCGCTACAATGTAGTATAATTGTTAAATATTACATAATTTGCGTAAGAAATAACACAAGACTACACTTATATACTACTATCGGACATTTTCCCCCACTTTACAATTAGTTTTTTTTTCGCATAGTTTTAAGATGTTTTGCGTTCGAACCACTCACTATCACTTTTGTACTGAACTTTGTACAGAGCCTTGATGAACAATAGCATTGCTTGACGAAAGATAAGTCATTCAACATTTAAAGGAAAACCATTAAAATATTATACGTAAGCATCCTTAAATTAGCATTAAGATTTATACACAAGAAAGTTTGGACTTCCAAATGCATTCGAACAAAACAATGTAATAAATGGTATATCGATAATTAAAAAGTATTTATATATCAGTACTTCGCATAAACTTACAAAAAAACAATAGTTTATAGAGGTGGACTCTGAAGATGGAATTATAATCCAAATTGTCCAAATCCGACGCAGAATCAAAGTATGTAGGTAGTTAAATAAAAGTGTCAAAATTGGACGCAGAATCAAAGTATGTAGGTACTTAAATAAAAA